CTGCATTGGGAGCATTTGTGGAAATAGCACATAGAGATGCTCACTGTGGCTATAGGGGACATGTCTCTTGCTTTGGCTCAATCCAAGTAGACCTCTTGGAGGGGGGAGGGGAGCATCTCAGTGGTCCCTGAAATGCAGCTGGCTTCCCAGGCTGGCAAGACTTTGCTCAGTTGAATGTCCCTGGGGGTCAGTCCTCTCTACACCCCCGGGGGTGGGGTGGGCATTGACATCTGCCAGCTGGCATCCTATGGGTGGGCAGTAGTAATGGCTGTAACTGTCACAACAACTGGTGATTACTGAGCACTTACTTTGTGCCAGGCTGTGCCAGGCCATGCTGAAAACCTCCTGCTTCTCAACTTATATAATCCTTACCCAGATCCGCCCAGGGTGGGTATATGCCTTGCCTAGGGTTGCACAGACAAAAAGTGGTGAAATCAGGGTTTACTTACCCCACATTAATTAAACAGCCTAACAGACCCCCAAGGACCCTGCAAGGGACAGCCCCCAGGGCTCCGGCTCTACCCGGCAGCTGAGGGGCAGGTTCATGGGGAGATCCCGTCTCTGGGCTCTTGCCTGGTCCTTGTCCACTCCCAGGACCAAAAGCTCCATCACCATGAATGTGTGGCATTTTCTCCCCACCCACAAACTGCCACCCTTGAGTGTCCAGGTCTCCCAGCAGCACGTCTGCCCGCAGACCTCACAGCCATGGATTCCCCAAGTGGCTCTGGCCCCAGGGTTCTCCCCAGTCAGGCCCCCCCATCCTCCCTCGGCAGCTGGAGGGAAGAGCATAGTAAAAGTCGATTGTGGTAATAAAAGGCATTAACCATCTGAACACTCGCCCGCAGTGCCCCCGCAGCCGTCTATCCTTAAGCAAGAAATATTGTTTAATGCTGATGGTAATGAGCGAATCAAATTTTGAAAATTAAGCTGGAATTTGAGCATTAGCACCAGGACGCTGGCATTTGGCAAGTCAAGTGGCACTGCTGTCACCCGCCTCCTCCCCCTCTGAGGCCCACTCACCCTGCATGGCCAGCAAGAGGCTCCCCCGTGGTGGAGGTGGGGCAGTGGCCAAGGCACAGTCCTGCAATGTCCCTTTTAGGAGCTGCCACTAGAGATGCATTGCTTCTCTGATTTGGGGGCTCTCCTTTTGAAGTGCAAATCCTTCCAGCCTGAGCCCCCTTCTGCCTGACGTGTACAGGAGTCTCTGTGTCCCTCGCAGAGGGATGGATGGGAGGAAGCAGGAGATTCCAGCAACCAGACCCCACTGACTTTTCTAAGCACCTATGGCTTCCCAGGGAGTGTAACCCAGTGCTTTTTATAGGTCAGGGAACCAAGCTCAGCATTAGATCGGGGTTCTGGGAAAATAAAAATGATTCCTGAGGCCAGAGGAAAGGGAGATGTATGTGCTACTAGAACAGAGAACAGGAAGGAAGCAGTAGAAAAAGCAAAGTCAAGCTTCCCCCGGGTCCCCTTCTTGCAAGCCCTGCTACAGTCTGGGATCACTTGAGGGCAGGGGAAAGGGGCAGCTGAAAGGGGGTCTTCCACCCCTGCCTTTGCTCAAATTCTGGTGTGGTCCTGGAGCCCCGCGTCTGTCCCCTGCACATCAGAACTCCAGCCCACCTCCTCCTGGAAGCCTCTCCCACTGCCCCATCTGGCCTCTTCCAAACTGCAGCCCAGAGCTATTGGCCACCGGGCCTATCTGTTCTCTCTCTCACTGGGGGCTCCATGGCACAGACTCTGGGGACCATGAACCAAAGGCTTGGGATTCCTCAAGGATCTCAGAGCCATGTGCAACCCCCAACCTATTGAAAGAGGAGACCCAGAAGGGCTCCCAAACTCATCTCAGATCCTCTGCTTAGCCAAGTCCCAGGTGCACAGTAAGTGCTCAATCAATGCTTGCTGAAGGGGTGAACAGAGGGTAGACCCAAAGTACATCAGGTTCTCTGGCCCAGCCCCCCTCCCCTGAGGTGGCTGTAAACACCTTCACCTGACACAGACCTGGGTACTCCTCCCAACCACGATTTTATCAGCTTCTCCCAGCCCCAGCTTCTGGTGGGGGTGGGGTGGTGAGTGTCCTCTGCCCACTCCCCCATGGCGGTTGGACATCTGGGCACAGAGGGCCAAGATGCCCTCTCTGGGTCCAGGCAGAGCTGGGACAAGCACCCACCTTCTCTTGCCCAGCCATTCTAGGGAGCCACACTCCTGCTCCCCAGAACCCCAGGGGCTTCCTCTCACCACAGTCACAGATATATTTTTAAAGCACAGAAGACAGTGGCGAGGGCTATGGGATGGAGGAGTGAAGAGAAGCCCAAGAAGCTGGGTTCAGTTGAGGTCCCAGCTGTGGTTTTAGTGTGAGCTCCTTCTCTGGCCCAGCTTCCCCATCTGAAAGAGTGTGGGACCCTCAGTGGGACCTGGGGACCTGCCCAGCTCTGCCGCTCTGTGGCCTTGTTCTCCCAGGGGCAGGCATACCAGTTCACTGTTTGGCAACCCTTGCTTGGGGACGCGTGTATTGTGGGTGGCCCGTCTCTCCGTCCGGATGCCAGCTCCAGCGAGTGGCGTCGCCTGTCCCGTTCACTGCCGTAGAAGCAGTGCTTGCACAGCGTCTGGCGCAGAGCAGGGGCTCAGCCAACACCCTTGAGTGACTGCTCGAACTCGCTCTGCCCCTGGACTAGGAGAAGCACGAGTGAAGACCCGAGGGTGGGAGGTACCGTGTTATTGGCACCTCCTCCAGGTCTCTGGCATGGCCTGTGCCATCTGCCACCAGTGTTTTCCTGTGCCGGGCACCAGGCTCAGCCCTGGAAGTGGGAAGGTCAACACAACACAGTGCCCTAACTGCTCTGGGCTCCCAGTGCTAGACTTCCGCTGCTCACTGCATCTCTGGGACCCCAGAGCAGGGTGGCCCTCCAGGGCAAATCAGGGCAGGGCAAACCAAGGGGGGACAGCACACCATTTCCTCTTGCTCCTGCTTAGAGAAACCCAAGTAGTGGCAATCGCCATTGTCGTTACTGCTTGTCAGTCTCTGTCCCTGCAGCATCTCTTGGAATCCTAACCACCACAAGAGGGCTTGAACATACCCATTTTATAGACCTATAAAACTGAGGCGTGGAGCAGGAGAGCTGGGGTGTGAGGCAATGGGCGTGGCCCAGAAGGAGGTCCCCTCACAAACTCAGAGTCCCTCCAGCCCCTAGTTTGAATGACAAGCCTTAGTTCGTTCACACAGTCACCATACTCACCTGGGAGGGAAGGGAGTACAAACTGAACACGGGTGGGGATCCTAGAAACAAACATTTGAGTTGGGTGGGGTCAATCTAAGAATACCTGGAGAAAGTGAGTCTGGAGCCAGGCTTCTTTGGTTTTCTACAGTCTTCCAGAAAGGTAAGGCTGGCAGTAATTTCCCTGGAGAAGTCAGATGGATGGGAAGAGGGGGAATCTGGCTCCCTACATGTTTAGAAAGGCCCAGAGAAGAAGGAGGCTCAGGCCTTCCACTGAGAACTGTGTAGTAAGGGGAGATTACAGGGACAGGGAAGAAGAAATTAGCAAAAAAAAAAAAAAAAAAACTGGCAAAAGGAAGTGGCTGGATAGAAAGGCACGTGTGGATGAATTTTAATGCAATCAGAAAGCTGTCATAATGATAATAAAGGAATGCATTCAGACGTCAGGACAGGCCATGCCTGGGAAAAAGAGTTTCAATTACTCCACCAAAGGAGTAAAAGCTCCCATTTCACTTCACATAAATTGTTGCTGCTTCCAGGAGTCAAACAAAAGGGCTCCCCCACATTTCCCTGGGTCTCTGTCCTCTTTCCACCCATCTCTCTTCTCCCTGCCCTTAGCTTCTGACTCTTTTCCCCCACATCTCCTGCCATTTGCATTCTTTATTTGGTAGAGCAGTCACAAGCCCTGCTGAGACTCGAGGGGAAGGAATATGACCCCAACCCTCAATGTGAGGAGTGGAAATCCCATTGAAGTAAGAGCATGTGGCTTGGGGGACCCTTCTGCAGTCATTCAGAAGCTGCTACAGGTCCACACAGCCCAATGTGCTCCCTGTCACCCTGAGCACGAAGCTGAGTGGGGTCAACAAGCCACTTATCGCAGGTGTGGGGCTACAGAGGCACCTTTAGGGACAGGCTCCCCTAAGTGCCCAGGGCTGAATTTTGCAGCATGAACAAATAGGAAGGGCCAGACCCAGGAGAGGTCACCTGACCAAGGTAAACACAAAGGCAATACAAAGCAGCTGTGCCCCTGGGAATGGCACAGGGCATGCCCTCATTCATTCTCCGTCCGTTCCATAACCATCGCGAGGGTCTGCTGTGCACCAGGCACTGCTGCTTCAGCACAGAGGCTTGGTTTCCTTGCCCAGGGAGGCGAGCTACGCAGAAACCAACTACACCCACAAAGCAGTAAATAATCGTGCTTTGAAATTCCAGTTCTAGGGATGGGATCTGTGGCAGAGAATAAAGGAGAGTGGAAGGAGAGGTATTGGTGAGGAGATACTATTTAAACTGAGCCCTAGAAGAGAAGGATTGACCCTGTGACCCATGCTCTGCAGGCAGAGGGAACAGCATGTGCAAAGGCCCCTGGGCAGTCTCGCCAGTTGTGATTGATTTGGACACCTAAGGAAGATGGTGCATAAGCGGAGGGTGGAATGAGGGGCCAGACCAGGGGCTTTGCTCCTCAGAGTGCAGCCTGCCCTGTAGGCAGGAGGAGGCGGAGTCGCTGCAGTCCAGCCCCCGCTTAGCACAGCCCCTCCTGCCCCGCCTCCCCCTCCTCCCCTGCCCACTCCCGCCCTTCCCACCTCCCCACACCCCTACCCCCTTACCACCTACCCCCTACTCACCTTCGCTCCCACGCCCCGCCCCTCGGCTCTGAGCCCCGCCCGCCTGCTGCCCGCTCCTCCCTCCCACGTTGCCCTCCCCCTCCGCGGTTCGCCGGCTACCCGCGGGCTCGTCCCGCGCAGCCCGGCCCCTGGCCCGGGTAAGCATCTCCTAATTTTGTTCCAGAAGATAGAAAACTCTTCGTGGGCATGCTCAACAAGCAACAGTCCGAGGACGACGTGCGCCGCCTCTTCGAGGCCTTCGGGAACATAGAGGAGTGCACCATCCTGCGCGGGCCCGACGGCAACAGCAAGGGTGCGCGGGGCGGGGCGGGCCCGGGCCGGAGGGGAGCGAGCCTGGGAAGGTGCTCCGAAGGGACGAGGTGGTGGGAGACTCGGGCTGCCTTTAAGTCCCCGCGCCTGTCCAGGTGTTTCTGTCTCTGTGTGTCTCTGTCTCTGCGTTTCTTGGTGTCTCTCCCACTCTCTCAGTCTCTGTGTCTCACCCATTCTGCTCTCATCTGGGAGGCGCCCTCTCCTCTCGGCCCCTCTCTTGCCCTGCCTCTGGGTCCCAGCTCTCCCTCTGGACTTCCTCTGGGTGCTCGGGCGGTGGCTCAGCCTCTCCCGTCCCCCCAGGGTGTGCCTTTGTGAAGTACTCCTCCCATGCCGAGGCGCAGGCGGCCATCAACGCTCTACACGGCAGCCAGACCATGCCGGTGAGTGCGGCCCCTTGGGGCGGGGGCGGGGACAGCGGCGACTGAGACGCCCAGCACCTCTGGGCCGCAGGCCCACGGTGCAGCCCACACCGTGCCAGGCGCGAGCTGCACTCACTGACTCCGCATGAGAAGGGAAGGCATTACCCTTATCCCCGTTTCTCAGACGAGGACGCTGAGGCCCAGAGATGTTAAGCAACTGACCCGAGGTCACCCAAACAGAAATGGCCACGGTGGGGTTAAGACCTCATACCCATGAGCCAGCGCAGATGCAGGTCCCCAGTATCCCCCAGTGCGCCCTGTGGGGAGGGAGTGGTGGAGGGCCCAGGGTACAGGCGGACAGCTGTGGGCGGAGTCTTTGGGGCAGGCTGGTCTCACGCACTGTCCGGCCACAGGGAGCCTCGTCCAGTCTGGTGGTCAAGTTCGCCGACACTGACAAGGAGCGCACGATGCGGCGAATGCAGCAGATGGCTGGCCAGATGGGCATGTTCAACCCCATGGCCATCCCGTTCGGGGCCTATGGCGCCTACGCTCAGGCAGTAAGTGGGGGCGGATGGGCAGCGGTTCAGAGATCGCTCCCCCGGGAGGCCCAGAGAGCAGGGTCACCTAACCGAAAATACTGCTCCTGTCCTGGGAATGAGGAGGGGCAGGAGTTAATCCAGGAAGTGTAAGCTCAGAAGGGGTTAGAGAAAGCCGATTCTGTTAGGGGTGGCTGCCAGAAGGAGATGGGTTGCTGTCTTGGTTCTAAGAGGGGTAGGGGCTAGAGAGAGGGCCCCTGGGCAGGGCAGCAAGCTGGGTTTCTCTGAGGCCTCCCAGCCCAGCCAAATCAATGTTGAACTCCAAGAAGTGTGGATGGGAGAGGGGAGGCTCAGGTGTTTGGTTGTCACCACCCCACTCTCACTCATGAAGATTGTCTTCAGGCCTTCTGGTCACTCCTGACAGGGGTCCTATAAAAAGCCCAAAGTCCTCCACACACACACTTCCCCTGCAGGCCCCCCTCCCCCAAGCTCTGCCTCAGGCCTCTGGCCCACCAACTTCTTTCTTCCCATTGGAGTCCACTCTGCCAGCATCTCCCTGAGCTGCCTCTGGACTTGTAACTACAACCCCCACATGGGTGGCACTGAGGCAGGCCAGGGTTCTGGTTCTAAAAATGCAAGCTCACCTCATGTCCTCGGCAGCATTCAACCGTGGTCACTTTCAACAGCCTCCCCTGTCCCTTACTCACATTTGTGACCACACTGGGGTGCCTGAGGTTCTAGTCATGATTCTCCTGTCACTTCTGCCCAACACATTCCCAGTTCAGACCATTTGGGGCAGAAATCTATACTAAGTTAATTCTGTGGAGGCTCATCCAACTTGTCCCTACCACTTTGGGTGTCACATCCTTACAAATGACCCACCTGACCCAAGGCTGACCAGCACCTGTGGAGCCAGTCCCCTCCCCTACCCTCTACAACAACTTTAGAGTCCCAAAGCCCCTACCATTACTTTTGACTATAGTCCTCTCTGACGGAAGTGGGTTCTAATAGCCAATGAGGACCAGGACAGGAAAGGGGAGGCATCAGAGCTCTCTAGGGGTGGTGGCCAGTAGACTGTCCAGGTTCCCTGGGGCTCAGGGCCTAGGAAGTTGGTCTCCGGGAGCTGAGCCCCTGTTGGGGAGGGATGCCCTCCTGGAAGCACGTGATATTTTTTCTACTCCTTCTGCCCCAGCTGATGCAGCAGCAAGCGGCCCTCATGGCGTCAGTTGCACAGGGCGGCTACCTGAACCCCATGGCTGCCTTCGCTGCTGCCCAGATGCAGCAGATGGCGGCCCTCAACATGAACGGCCTGGCGGCCGCACCTATGACCCCAACCTCAGGTGAGCCAGCAGGTACCAACATAGGGCCTGGCCTGGGAGGAGAATAGTTGGGCCCAGGCTGGAACCTAATTTTGGATACCAATTGACCATCCTATGGCAAGAGCACATGATGTCTGGGCCCAGTCAGGCCCTGTCCTCTGGCAGTTTGTATCAAAAATTACATTAGAAAATCCCTGGGGACCCAAGGGTAGACAAGATGTGGTCCCCATGCAGTCCACGATGTGATTTCAGGGTGGTGAGAGTTTCTCTCAAGTTGCTTAGCCATGTCAGGAAACACTTCATCTTGATCTCTATTAACAATAGATATCTGGAAAGAAATTGACATGAAAACATCTCCCTTCGAGGTCGGGGAAGAGAAGAGCTCTGCCCTTTCTTTGGCCTTGTTTGGTCTCTGGCCTAAGCCCAGAAGGAACCCTTTTTTTCCATTTCTCTTTAACCCAACCTAGACTCATCCATTGGCTTTTTCCAAGACAACTACAAAACAAGCTAGAGAGAACCACAAGAGTTATCAAGGGACAGAGGCTTGGAAACAACCCAGCTCACGAAGCATGTTTTTGATTGGATCTTGGCTATTATCCAGTCCAATGATTCTCAACTGGTGCAATTTTGTCCCCTACCTCCAGGACATCTGGCAATATCTGGGGACATTTTTGTTTGTCACAACTGGGAGTAGGGAATACTACTGGCATCTAGTGGGTAAAGACCAACGATATTGCCATACATCCTATAATGCAGGAAAGCCACCGTAACAAGGAAATATCTGGCCCTAAATGACAATAGTGTCAAACTATAGTCTAGTCCCAAGGACTGGTCCAGTATCCTAGGCTCTCATCTCAGCCCAGGCCACAGCAGCAACTCTCCTGACATCCAGGAGTTATTCCTTTCCCAGATTAATGCCACAGAAGACTGAACCATCTCTGGGCCCAACTTAAACACTACTCCACAGCTCTGATCACCAACCTCAGGGATACTCATGAGTCTAGACAATAGGTCAACCTCAGGTCCTTGTTCTCAGAGGGACCCCAATTCCTACATGAAAAGGAAGACCCTTTTTCTCCTCTGGGCCCTCAATATAATCACTATACCATCCACATCTTGGGTTCTACCTACCTGGAATAGGGAAGGCATAGAGTGTTTTCATCTGACCTCAACTTTACCCTCACCACCATGACCACCGCCATTGCTTCAACTGGAGGAGACCAAAGGTGTCTATTTTGTGTATGACATAGTGTTGAGTCTGGACTGTACAATGACTTCTATGCCTCAGTGCCAGGAAACATCAGAATTAAAATATCCTCCACCTGAGCAGGAACACTTCTCTGTAGGGAGGCAGATCAGCCCCTCCAGGAACAAACAAGGACCAGCCCATCCTGACTTAGCTGGAATGAGCAAGAGCCACTGCAAAATACCAAAGTAGGACCAAGTGTGGTTAAAGTTGAGGGCATTGAGGATAGTTTATGTCCTGTAGGTCCAAGGATGAGCCATCGGTGGTTAGAGAAGTCTTCATGGACTAAGTGGGGCTTGGGCTCTGCCTTGAAGAATGGGTACAGTTGAGATGAGTGAAGTCACTTCATATAGGGAGATAAGCCAAGGCATGGTTCACAGACAAGATTGAGCTGGTGTGTGAGGTCCAAGTCTAACCCTAGGCCTTGGAGGCAGTGGGGTGGAGCACCATGGGTTGGCCTTGCTCACCTTTGTTCTGCTTGCCTCCCCTCCTCCCCTGCCTCTCTGCGCCCCTGGAACCAGGTGGCAGCACCCCTCCAGGCATCCCTGCACCAGCTGTGCCTAGCATCCCGTCCCCCATTGGGGTGAACGGCTTCACCGGCCTCCCCCCACAGGCCAACGGGCAACCTGCTGCGGAAGCTGTGTTCGCCAATGGCATCCACCCCTACCCAGGTAAGCACATCTGGCAGCCCTGCCTTCCCCATGCAACATGTTCCTTATCCATTCTGTCATTTTTCTTGCTGTTCTAACAAAGAATATGTGGCTCCAGCCCTATGTCCATTCCTTGGTGAGACCCCAAATGTGATCAGGGAAGGCCAGCCTCCTACCCTCCTTCAGGGAGCCCATAGTGGGAGAGAAGAGACCAAAGTCCTGCCACTGGGGAGGTGCCAGTCTGACCAGTGAGAGAGAACCCTATTCCAGGGGTTCCCTCAGGGAAGAAAAGAGACTGGGTGCAATTGTACAGCCAGGTAGAAAGGCCAGTAAATGCAAATTAACCGAGTGTGAATTTGACCTATAAGAAGTAAGGGGATAGAAGCTAAAGGAGCAGCCAGATTTAGTGTCAAGTAGGAAAAGACTCTTTGGGGAAGGAAGTGGAGGTATACTGATTGGCAGTCTAGCTAGTACATACTGGTCTGATCCTTTGGTGCGCACAAAAGCCTGGTCAGCACCTCGGACAGCAGGTTAGCACCCCAGACAGCTCCCGATCCACTGCTTTAGAAAGTCGGGTACACAGGAAGATGCAGGAGGCTTGTTCTGGATTAACTTTGTTCCTCATAAACTTAGCAGTTCTCACAGGGTGAGAGTGTCCTGTCAACCCAAAGCAGCTCTTCTCTCTGGTCTGGAGGATGGACTGATATCAGGGCGGGGAAGCCCTAGAGTAGACTACCAGAGACAAGTCAGTGGAGATGTGAAGATAGCTGCCCTCCTTCCTGGAGGGCAGAGGATGAGCTTACAGAGTCCTCATAAATATCTGTCTGTACTGGATGAAAGGGGGGTCGTAGGGCAGGACATGGACCTATCCCCTGGGACGTCAAAGTCCAGGCGGAAACACAATATAAATCTACAGAATGAGAGACAATACGGCAGAATCAAGTTTGATCAAGAGTGAATGTTCTCAGACTCAAGATAGCAAAGGAGTCATATGAAGGGAGACTTCCGTAGGCTGAAGAAGCCCAAAAGAGCCTACCTGAGGAGGAGACTAAAATGAAACTTTAACAGATGGGCAGGAATTAAAGAGGTGAGGATGAACACGGAGCATACTCCTGTGGCCCCCTCTTGCAGGCTCAGAGGCAGGAGGGGGCTTGCCTGGCAGGGACAGGGGACATAGAGTGGTAAGGAGGTTGGCCCCATAGGGCAGAGGATGCTAGCTCGAGGTAGATAAGCAGGAGAGCAGAGCTATGCTCCCACTCTGGGTGCCCACAGGAATCCCCTGTGGGGTTCTATAAAAGCACAAAAGCCCAGAGATTCTGATTTCACTCTCTGGAGTGAGGCCCAGACATCTGTAGTATATAAATGTTACCCCAGCTGAAGAATGTAAGGTCAATGTGCTAGAGGGAAGGAGAGAAGGAGAATTCCCTGACTTTGAACTTGGAGTCGTCCTTGGTCCCATTCTAGTGCTTGCCCTGCAATACACCCCTCAGGCCATAGAGGAGCAGCCAGAAGGGTCTGGAGCACAAGGTGGTGTGACCCTGAGCTTAAGGATGAAGACTCCAGGCTGGTAGGGGTAGCGGGGTGGGGCTGGGCCAGCTGGAGGTGGAAGAGATCCCAGTCTCAGGCTCTCAGGCTGGGAGATGCCATTCCCAGCACATCTGGGTGGCTTCGTCTCCCACTCCTCCCTGCCCACCAGCCCATCTGGATCTCTGGATTCTGACAAACCTGCTCCTTCCCCACCCCCACTGGCATCTGTGAGCTGTTTCCCTCATGGAATTTGGAAATGTTTCTTTCCCCCATTTGTAACAATCTGCCACATCTCATAAACAATTCCCTGCCAGAGCAAGAGGGAGGGATGGAGGGAAGGAAAGGAGAAAAGTAGTACATTAAAAAAATTAATTTACCATCTTTAAATGCGGAGTTTGGAGCTGCTGTAATGAGCGAGATCCTTCAAAATGTTCGCTCTTTGGCAGTTACTAATGAGGTCATTAAGCAGAGAAGTAGAGAGGGTCTCATAAATGCTTTTCTCCACTTCCTGGCCCCAGGTAGCTTTTCTGTTCTTGCCTCTTGCTCGTCCAGATCATGGTGGATGCACATAGTGTGGCCTTTACTGTCACATAACACCCTTGAAGGGGTGGCTCTCACAAACATTAAAGACTATCCATTCATTCATTCATCCCTTCAGTTGTATGATTTGCCAAGAACATACTGTGTTCCGGGCACTATGCTGGGGCCTGCCGTATAAGTTGTGCAGTTTGCGTTTTGCACAAGGGCACCAAACTCTGTGCCTGGAGGAAGGGGTACCCTTTTCTAATTTGCATAAAGGTACTGTACGAGTGAGCAGCTGGGAAGACCAAGAGGACAAGCCAGATGTGGCTCTCCAGAGAGCTTATGTTGTTATATTTATTTATTTATTTATTTTTTGAGACAGAGTCTCACTTTTGTTGCCCTGGCTAGAGTGAGTGCCGTGGCGTCAACCTAGCTCACAGCAACCTCAAACTCCTGGGCTCGAGCAATCCTTCTGCCTCAGCCTCCCGAGTAGCTGGGACTACAGGCATGCGCCACCATGCCCAGCTAAATTTTTCTATATATTTTTAGCTGGCCAATTAATTTCTTTCTATTTTAAGTAGAGACGGGGTCTCGCTCTTGCTCAGGCTGGTTTCAAACTCCTGACCTTGAGCGATCTTCCCGCTTAGGCCTCCCAGAGTGCTAGGATTATAGGCGTGAGCCACCGAGCACAGCCCAGAGAGTTTAGAGGCTGGCAGAGGAGAGAGACAGAGGGAGGAGGAGACCACCCATCAGGCACGTCACACCTGGGAGCCCTTGGCTCCAGTCCCTACCATGGCAGAAGTAGAGGGACAGGGTGTTGGACTGGGACAGCCCCAGGTAGGAAGGAGCCTGCACTGTGGCCTATCTTCCACTGCCCTCTTCTGACTGGAGCCCCGTGGGCCCTGCTCCCCTGCTGCACACTAGTGCTGGGGGTACGGAACCTGCCGTCTGCTGTCTCTAGGGACCTCTGCCGCAGGCTTTTCTTTGGGCTCCCTGAGGTCTAGGTGCTTTTTTTCTAATGGAATTTTACTGAGAGACTCAAGGACAAGAGCTCAGGGGGAAGTCTGGGAATTCTCCCTAGTCTACAGGTCCTAGCACCCAGCACGGCCAGGTAACGTGGCTAGCCTGGGTTGACAGGCAGATAAGCCCAGAGGGTTTTCTTCCTGCCACCCTTCGATAGCCAGTTTGCCCCCAGACATACTGGGGCACCTGTCCCTCTGGGTGACACCTGTCTCCACCACCTCCTTCAGCCCCTGAGGCCAGCCCACTCCCATGTCAGTCACCACTGGCCTTGGGCACCAAAGTCAGTGGCCAGTGTGGATTCATGCTTCAGGCTTTTGCCCACAGCTCCTGCAGAAATAGCAAAGGCAAGAGAAGGGAAGTGAGCCTTTTCCCCAGTCCAATTCCCTGAGTTTCTCATCAAAATAGCCTCAGTTCAAGGGACCTCTCCTCACACTAGGTGGGACACATTCCAGAGCCACAAGGTCAGAAGGTGGGAGGAAGGTCCATGGTCTTCTGGTTCCTCAGTTTCTGGGGACAGTGCCCCTCTCCCGGGCCACCAGGCAGACTTCATCTGTGTGTCCATGCCCTGCTGAGAGCACCCCAGCTAGTGACTAGGAGTGGGAGGCCTCCATGCCTTGTGTAGATTCCCCAAGAATGAGGGAGGGGTCCCTCTACTTGAGCAGGTGCAGGTGACCCTGGAGGACAGAGTGGCCGGGTGAGGCCTCTGTGCCTTTTCTTTTACCCAGCCAGGGTCTGCCAGGCTTTCCCTTCATTCACTAACCCCACCTTCTGCAATGGTCAGTGAGGATGAGTCCAGCCTCCTGATGGCTTCCAGCCCCCTCTCACACCTTCCTTATAGCCAGATTAGGTCATGGGTCCCCCACCAAGCCCCTCCAGGCTGAGCCGTCTTCTGGCATCTCCTCCTCAATTCTTCAGTCTACTGTGTGAACCACTTGTCTCACCCCACCCCAGGCCACCTGCAGCTGGCACCCTCCAGCCAATGGGGGCAACTCTCTGCCCTACTAAGGGCCCTGAGCTAGGGAAGGGGACCCCAAGAGGGTCTAGGCATTCAGGGTTCCTGTCTCAGACACCTTGCCCCAGGGCAGCCCCTGCAGTGGCCAGGAAGGGCAGTGCAGCCACATTGTCCCCTGGGCATGGTGGTGGGAACCAGTTTGGTGGGCACCTCTGACTGACTCTGTCCTCTTGGCCCCCTGCAGCACAGAGCCCCACCGCGGCGGACCCCCTGCAGCAGGCCTACGCTGGAGTGCAGCAGTATGCAGGTCGTTAGTATCCACGCGTCGCCTCGGCTCTTAACCCTGGCCAAGTTCATCTCTCCATGCCTGTGACATCAGTGTCCCCTCCCCACCCCAGTCCTGGGCCCAGCACTGCATGGGGTTGGGAGAGGGAGTGGTAGGGAGCCACATGCAAGGAGGGAGGACTGACTGGCAGAGACTGTCTGGGCTGCCCCGCCTCCTGCAGCTCCCGTAGCAGAGTGTCCTTGCAGTGGCGGGTGGCAGAGCTTCGGACAGATTGGCTGAAGCTTTGCTCTTGCTGGGCAGTTTCCTGTCTTTAAGGCCAGACTTTCCTTCCCCATGGTGCTGTCAGAGCTGACTTGCCCAGGAGCACCAAGCCACACAGCAGCTATGGGGTGAGCCTAGGCCTGGGGTGCTGCCCACAGCAGTCCACGGTCACTGGCCCAGGAAGCGTAGGTGCCTGGTTTGCAAGAATAGGGGACTTCTGGAAGAGACGCAGTTCCCAGTCCCCTCCCCCATACACAGGCAGCAGGATGGGCCTCCAGCAGGTGTGACGGGAGGAGAGGTGAGAAGAGACAGCCCTGAGCCAGTAGAGGCCCTTTGGGCACTGAGCCACCACCTTTGCTGTGTTCAGAGTTTCTGGGGCCCACCCCCAGCAGGCTCCCCGGAGGCCAAGTGCACACCTAGGGCGGCTCCCCACCTCCCAGCTGGGCGCCTCTGAAAGGGAGTAAGGGTGTGCCAGCCAGTGCCGGCATGGCTCAGAGAAGCAGGAAAACCTTCTCGTGGACTCCAGGCGGTGGTGGGGTGAACTTGTCCAGGGCATTTGGATGTTTTTGATTATCCATGATTGTGTATTAGCCACACATGTGGTTTGTCCACTGTTTCAAATTAAACTCACCCCCCCCAGCACATACACACACACACGTGCACATATGTACACATACGCACACATGCACACACACGCGTGCACACATACGTACACACATGCATTTCCAACCTGCACTCTGCAGCGCCTCCTCTCTTAGTGGAGCTGGTTTTGTGTGAGAGGCTGGGCAGCAGTGCCCTTTTCGGCTAGTCTGCTTTCGCTGCCCACGCTGAAACCTTTCTCTCTCTTCCTGCCTCTCCGCTGCCGGCTCCCGCCTCCTCCCCGGGCCCTCCAGCAGCCGCCTACCCTGCTGCCTACGGTCAGATAAGCCAGGCCTTCCCTCAGCCGCCTCCAATGATCCCCCAGCAACAGAGAGAAGGTGAGTCTGCAGGCCAGTTGCCTGGGCCCCTCCCCGCCCCTGCTCTCCCCAGAAAGGCTGCTCACCCCGGCCTTGGGCTGGGGTGTGTCGGGAAAGGGGCCACGTTCTGTGCTGTGGTGAGTGGATGAAGGAAGCCAGCAGGGTTGCAAGGCACCGAGTTCTCTGGCTCGAGCGTGGAGATGCATTTCTCGGGGGCAGCTCTGCACACCAGAGTGGTGCCAGCCCAGGGGCAGGGGACTGGGCAGAATACTGGCATGTCCCCCATGGAGCCCCTTTCCCACTCCCCTCCATCATTTGCCACTGGCCGACTCAGAGCTCACATGCTGATATCTTGGTCTATAAAAAACAACCCCCCCGAGAATGGTCAGGGTTGTGTTTCTTCTTTAGCAAGAACCTTGAGTAAGTAGGGCCTGTGTTTGCCAGCAGAGGCCTTGTCCCTGCCCCAGGGAGTTATGGAGTCACAGTGTCACAGAGGAGATTGAGGCCCGTCCTTGGGGTCTTCATCTGAGGGCCAGCGCTGTGTTCCCAGGGCTTGGCAGGACAGCCGGGAGATAGACTCCAACAGTGTGGGGGAGGCGCCAGCTCTGACAACTGCGCACGTGCAGCAGGGCTCGGTGGAGAGCCTCAGGTCACCAGGGAGGTGAGGCCCTGGAGGATGTGGGATCCAAGAAGCCCCCACAGGCAAGACTTGCCAGTGGGGAGGATGGGGTGAGTAGGAGTGCCCATGGCTGAGGGGAGCGCAGGAACGACCTAGTTCATCGTGGATAGAAGTCATGCCCTCTGGGTGACCAGGGGACGCCTGCGGGCTCCCAGGACAGGACTCCATGGGCAAGATGAGGTGAAGGGATGGCAGTGCCCCAGCGCAGGCCTAGTGGGAGGAAAGGATCCTGAAAAGCCACATCTAGAGGCTGGCGTGAACAGGGCCGGGCAGGTCAGTGGGCTCAGATCGCAGGGATCTGAGCTGCATCAGGCTCATGCTCAGGGATTCCAAGAGCCCACCCACAGAGAGCTCAGCTTGGGGGGTAGGAACACCAACAAGGTCCCGTCCTCACCACCCCCATGGAAAGGGTCACCCTGGCAGTCAGGCCACCAAATCCGCCCCAGCGGCCCACATGGCCAGAGCATTCCAATGGTCTGCAAATGCCCAGCCTGTAGCCCCTTCAGCAGACTGCCCTGGAGCCATGGATATAGGAAAGTTAGCCCTGGAAAGGACCCTGGTGCAAACCCCTTAGATCAGACAGGCCCCAAAGCCTGAACAACTGACTTCTAGCTTTGCTGCCTCCTCTCCCTGTCACTCTCTCTGTGAATGTGAGGGTAGGGAGGACCTTTCTGTAAAAGGGTATAAGGATCAAATTAGCTCAAGTCTGCTCTCTGAGCTCCATTCAACAAATTTCTGTGCACACAGCCCTTCCTTCCCCAACTCGTCACCCCTTCCAAACCTGTACATGAGGGGTGTCACCCCAGCTCACACCCACTGGCCAGCTCCTGACACTGGTGTCATCAGGTCTCCCCATGCCCAGGAGAGCCAAGTTCCAGCAACCCAGAGAGGTGCACAGCAGGGCCTTGCCCAAACCCTGCGCCCAAGGCCTGTTGCAGCTGAGTGACAGCTGAGCCCACCATTGACAAGGCAGGGAGGGCCACCTATCAGCCCTGCCTCACCAGAGGGTTCCCTCATTGGGCTGTGGTCCTGGGGCCTGCCCTGCCCTTGCCACTCCCAGCCTTCATCAGTCAGATCAGGGTCACAGGGGGTGGGACCCAGGAGTCCCAGTGTCACCCTTTCTAGGTCCAGAACAAAGAGCTGTACCCACAGGCCCTACTCCTTTGTCACCCCACTGACATCAGCCTATAGTCAGCTCCCTGACTTGCTCTGGCCTCTGGGCTCAGGGTTTCTCAGATCATGCTACACGGACACACAGACACACCCACAAACACACTCGCACACACACATACACTTAGCTGCAGGTCAGTGCTGCCTGGACCAACACACACGATGGCCCTTACTGCTGGACTTAAACAAACACAGGCCCCCATCAGCCCTCCTGCCTCTCCTCTACCCCACACTGCACCAGCTCTAAGCAGCTTCAGTCCCTGTCCCCACGCTCCCAAGCCCAGGCCTCGTGTGGCCAATGCCCACTCCAGCCTCTCCTTGGGCAGGAGGATTTGCTATGTGTGTCCCCATTCTCCCTGGCCATGGTGCTCAGGCTGAGCCAGTCCACAGGAGCAGCGGATGGGGCGGGGTAAGATGGGTACTCAGATGCCAACGGAACAACCTCATCACACACTCAGGCGAGACCTCGGCACTGGGGGTGGGCTGTCGGGAAGGCTTCAGGGGCCTGGAAGGGTGGGACGGTCTCCAGCACGTGGAGACGGGAGGCAGGCGCTCTGGGCAGGGGGCACGGCAGAAGCAAAGGCACGGCTGCTGCAAAGCATGAGGTGAGCCCCGGGCCAGAGAACACAGGCCCAAAGGTGGCTTGGAGCCAGACCAGAGCCACGTCCCACAGTATTGTCTGAGGCATGGATGAGAAGGAAGGCTGTTTCTCCAGCCCTGCCAGTAGTCTGCCTCTTTATATTGCGGTCACCTCCCCCTGTGGAATGCCATCGAAGTACCAGGACTCACTGGTTGCTGGGGAGGACCCTCCTGCCAGCTCCTTGTCTTTGAGCTGAGCCTGAAAACCAAGAGATGCCTGACTCCCCTGCAGGCCATCTGCCCCACAGATGGGGCGAGGTTACCCTCAGGGACAGCCGCAGTGGTGGCCCTACAGGGCTGTGGTGTGGTCAGGGGCAGTCGCTCTCTGTCTCTGAGGCTCCGTTTCACCGTTTCCCAGAAGGCTGGGTTGGGCCAGATTGATCTCTATAGTCCTGCTGGTTCTGCCATCTGGATGCTCTGCAATCTGTGAATGAGGGAACGCGGCGAGGGCTCGTGGGTGGCTGGAATAAGGCAGCATGCGGGCTCACTGCTGAGGGCGAGGGGCTTGAGCTGCTGCCCCAACCTCCTGGTCAGGCCAGGGCTGGACGGTCACCCTGGGGGCTCTGCCACACACCGTGTAGATGGGACTGAGCCCAGGGGCCCTGTCTGTGAAGGCTCCTTGTCTCTTTAAAGAGAACAGACATAAGCTCCATAGGAAGCAGCTTGCAGGACTTGAACTTGGAGCCAAGCCCCAGGCCCAAGGCAGGTACCAGCATGGGCGGAGTAGTCAGGGAGGCCTGGAAGAGCAAGGAGGGGAGGAGGAGGAAGGGCGTCTGCTGGGCCAGAGGGGCTGGGCAGGAGGACAGGACAAGGCACATGCCCTTGCCCCTGGGGAGACAACCTCCCAGACATAAGGGACAAGAAGCCCCACCCCACAGAGTAAGGGGTGGACTCGGCATTGCAAGAGAGCGGCCAGAGGTTCTGGGGGCCGTCAAGTTCATGTTCGCAGGGCCCGAGCCAGTGGAGAGGGTGGCAAGGTCAAGGGCACAGGGCAAGGGGAGGGCCACCAGAGCTCAGAGTACCCAGCACCAGGCCCCCATGAAATTGGGTGCGGGAGTACATTTGCGCCTAGCTCTGAACGCGCCGTTCACTGGCAAAGTGCCTGAAAGCCCGCAGTCCAGGGAGGGGAGGCCAGAAGGGAAGGGTGGCAGATGGTGTGGGGTGGGGACCAAGGACTGAGCAGGCTAGTGGCTCACTGGGCAGCTTTGGTGGTTGGGGGGAGGGGTCTTTGTTCTAGGCTGTGGGCCTCAAGCGGGTGGAGATGATGGAGGAAGGAGGGCACAGGAGAGAAAGAAGAGTGGGTCAAGGCTCCAGAACGAGCCTGTGCCCCAGCGTTGGGTTATCTGGTGGCCTCGCAGGTCCTAGAGAGCCAGGACAGTTGGTTCTGGCCGTGAAAACCACATAGCAGCCCACGTCGGTGCCTTGCAGCCTTCACTTTTAAGCTCACGCTTAGGTTTCCTCTGATCAGAACCTTGGTTCTCACGCAACTCTAACAAGTGCAGCTATTTCCTCCTGTCCCCACCCTGGGAAGGACACCATCACTGAAATGACCACAAGTTACTTTAAAGCATTAAATTATACATGGTATATGCCAGCTATGATGGCAGGAAATACACCCTGCATCTTGGAAAGATTTCCATTTTGAAGAGTTAGAATTAAACATTTCGACCATTGAAAAAGAAACATAAATCTTTAGCTATCTGGAAATTTCAGAAATTCAAAGCTGTCAACAGTGTTCATGGGGTCCGGTGGGGCTGAGATTTAGGGAGAGAGAAGAATGCACGCTACGGAGGCAGATGGCCTGGCTCCACACCTCCCCCTGCCAGCTGCATGTCCTTCGGTGGGTGACTTAACCTCTCTGGCCCTCAGTTTCCTCATCTGTGAAGTGGTGATGACAATGGTATTTGAGTCAGAGGGTTGCTGTAAGGATTAAGTGAATTAACATGCGTGCAAAGTACTCAGGATAGCTGGGCACACAGTTCATGCTATAGACAGGGCAGAGCTGTTACTGTAACAAAGCAAAGAATCCTCATATAATGAGGCTCACGGGTTCCCTAGCTAATCACTGAGCCTGGCCCGAAGCCTTCCCTGGGCCCAGTTTATTGGAAAGGCCTAGAAAGGTGGGATAGATCTTGGTTTCTGCCCTCAAGGCCAGGGCGGAGTGTGAGGTGCTGGGCTGTGCAGTTGGGCATAGGGGCCAGATGGGAAGGAGGGGCTGCAGGCTTGCGGGCGGATGGGTGAAGTGTCTCCCCAACATGGGACATGGCTGCCCAGGGCGAGTCCCTCTGTCCTCCCAGAGCAGGGGCCGAGCAGGAGAGAGGCCCTCCTAGATCTCTCTGTTCCCCCCCTCCCCCAGCACCTTATTTCCAGGTACACAGCGGATCCAGCTTTGGCATGCTCACCCCCTTCTCTCATCAACTCTGCCGCGGAGCCCCCGAGTTGTCAGGCCTCTGTTACTGACCCATTTTGCAGAAAAGGCAGCTGAGGTTCAGAGAGGTTCAGTGACTTGCCTGGGGGCAGAGGCAAGAGTGGAGCTCAGACCCAGGGCTCAGCACCTCCTGCTCTTCCCGGGCACCCTTGGATCTTGAATGAAACCCCCCCTCCTAACCTTGCCCCCCTCCCTGCTGCGCTGCCTAACTCGCTCACCTCTCCTCTGTCTCTCTCTCCCCCACCCCACCATCCCTCCTCCCCCGCCCACCCCTCCCCTCACCGCAGGGCCTGAGGGCTGTAACCTGTTCATCTACCATCTGCCCCAGGAGTTTGGGGACGCTGAGCTGATGCAGATGTTCCTCCCTTTCGGTAATGTCATCTCCTCGAAAGTGTTTGTGGATCGGGCGACTAACCAAAGTAAATGCTTTGGTGGGTAAAGATAACAAACCAATTAGCTTCACCCAGGACAGGGCGGTGCTCGCACCCCATCACCGGTGTCCACCTGCTTCTCACCTGCTCCTTCGCATCGGCCCAGGAGCTCCCCACGGCCCGCCTCCAGCCTCCATCCCTCACCCTCCTCTTTTCCGCTGCTCTTTTTGCTTCTTGGCTTTCCCTGTCCACCCCCACCTGGACCCCACCTCCCACGTCCCAGTCCAAGAAATGGGTTTCCTCTTCCAGCTAGGTTCCAGCCAACTGAGGAGGGGAAGGGGCTCTGTGGGCAGGGGCGGGGGGCAGTGAGCACAGCCTAGTGACATCCATTGCCCGGCAGCTCCTCCCGGCTCCTGGTCAGAGTGGCCCAGCCTGAGCCCCAGGTGGCAGCAGAGCATGATCCCTGGGGGGCAGCAGCCAAGCCAGGCCCTGCCACCTGCCCCTTCACCTGCCCCTTCGCCTCCTCTCTCCACCTCTCTGCCCTGCCCCATCTCCTTCTCTGTCTGCCCCGCTCTGTGCTCCCTCCCGCCACCCCTACCCACCCCCCTCAGGCGCCCAAAGCAGGGCTTTGTTGAGAAGCCAGGAAGAGGAGACTGGTCCCTGCCCTCAGGAAGCCTGAGCTCTGAGCTTAGAGGAAAATTGTGTCTACTCACCAGCAGTGAAATCTGCGAGGCACCAGGAAATGAAGTGATAAGAGAGGTGGAAGGATGTAAAGACACGTAAAGGAAGAGCAGGATTCCAGGCAGGGAGACTAGGACAACAAGCATGGGGCTGGGATGGCAAGGGTACGAGGACGAGGACGGGGAGTGAGGAGGCAGGGGCTCTGGGGAGAACGGGGGGCTCAGGGGAGACCAGTTGCAAGGGAGGGTCTGTGCTGGGGAGGGTTTCTGCCATCTGGGTGCTTCATTTGGTGTGGCGGGCAGTGGAAGGCAGCGGGAGGTCCCTAAGCAGAGCGTAATAGCATAAGAACACAGCTTTCGGGAAATTTGCCTGGTGACCGGTGCTAGATGGGAGAGGGAAGACTTAGGCGGATCCAGAAGTGTGGTTGTCAGATGAAATACAGGATTCCCACTAAAATCTGAATTTCAGATCAACAGTGGATACTTTTTTAGTGTAAGATATGCCCCAAACATTGCATGCAACATGGCCCCTGTGCTATTTGGGATATACCTATACCCAAAAAAGTATTGCGTTGATCTGAAGTTCAAGTTAAACTGGGCATCCTATGTTTTTATTTGTGAAGTCTGGGAACCCTATCCAGGAAGCTTCAGACCTCCTCCTGGAATTTCGCTTCACCCCACATCTCTCCTCCTCCACTTCTCCTTGTTCCCTCTCCCACCTCCTCTTCTGCCCCCCTCAGCCTTTCCTTCTAGGGCAAGATCCATTCAAGAGGCCCTGGGGACTGATGAGTCCAGTCCCCAGAGAGCCACACGCAAAACCAGAGCTGAGTCAGCCAGAAGCTCAGTATCTCCAGGCTGACCCCAGAGTCCGGGGCTGGGAGGGGAACGTGGGAGCCTGTGCTGGCTAGGGAACCCAGGTCACAGCTTATGGGGCTAGGGGAGAAAGGACAAGAGTATAGAAGCATCAGGAAGCACATGTCCAGAACTTTCCACTTTGGAGAGCAACTTTGCAGAACTGTGAAGGGCTTGAGGATTCAGATCATGTTCCCCAAAGTAGTAAGATCTTTGCACCATTGTCCCTTCCCCTCTGGCAGCTGTTGCAGGAAACTTGTGGTCTTCCAACAGCATAAAGTTGCCCCAGCAACTTTGGGTATAAAAAAACAAAACAAAAGATGATGACAGGGTGGCACTTCCCCACGCCACTCAACTAGTACTTCTCCTTATAACTTACAATGACATCTGTAAAAAAAAAACCTAGAAATCAGTTACATTTGCTGCTTTGAGTAAGTCTTGAATGTCATATAGATGAGAAGAACCTTCTTCTAAGAGCCCAGGAAAGTCTGGGCCAGGACCAAGGTATTTTTCCTGCTTTTTATAGAAATCATCCTCTGTATGTCTCTACTCTGGCCTCTCCTCTCTTCTCGAACACACTACTAATGCTAAACACTACCAGCCTTGCAAAAGGACAGGCTCCAGCCATGCCAGCCCAGCCCAGCTATTCCTCATTAGGCCACTTTGGTCCTCTCTCTCACGGGGCAGCTGTGCCCTTATTGTGAGCCCTGGCTTCAGCACTCCCTCATGGGCAAGTCATTAACCCTCTGAGCCTTAGTGCCCTCATTTGTGAAACGGAGACATTGACAGTCATCCCTGATGGGTGCTGTGAATGTTCCAGGAGCCAGTCTGTTGCAAGGGGGGCTTGGCCAGACCAGACCCTCAGGAAGTGCTGCAGTCCCTTTTGTTCTGAAAGGCGGTGCTGTTTTTGCTATAAGAGTGGGCCTATGTTAAAGTGAACTCCTCAAAGGCTGCACTCACTCTTTAGAAGCATGAGCATACATTTATAAGCAAGGATATGGCTAGGACAAAATGTTCCTGCGTTGGAAGGAGTGCTGGGGGTATACCACCAGTCTGGGAGGCAGGAGCTTTCCAGGGGTAGGATGAGAACAGTGCTGGGGAGAAGAAGGGAAATCTGGGTGAAGGAAGACAGTCCTGGAAACCATGAACATGGGAGATGGTGCCCACAGCCCTGCCACAGGGGTCTCCAGTCTTTGAGGGAGATGATTCCTGCCCTGACTGCTAGCCAGTTAACAACACTCCAGGAAAGAAACGTTCCCTTGAGTCTGGTATCCTTCTTAACACCCTGCCAACCCTGCCCCGGCTTTTGGAGACCTCTGGACTCTTCCAGGAAGGCTGGGCTTCCTCCCACCTCCAGAACTTCCTTCCTGCTCTCTCCTGTGTGGCTGTCCCTCAACTCCGCCAGCCCTTGTTATCCTCCTGCTTTGCTCATGTGTTGTTTTCTGATAAGAGAGCCACCAAGCCTAGGTGGATATCAGAGGAATGAGGGGTGAGCATGTCACCCACAGTCAGACTACCTTGTCCTGGTAGGGGCTGAGAGCAGGTGGTGGAAGCATGACTGGAGGCTAATCTCCAACTATGGATCACCTCAAATCTCTCCTATTTGTTTACGTGTACAGATTACACAGACGTTGGTTTTGTTGCTTTGGGCTTGGCTCTGACCAACTTCGTCCACGCTCACATGCATGCAGTCACATGTGCACACGCATGTGCGCAAATGAGACGCATGCACATGCACACTGCCACACTCCCGCCCAGCCCCATCTTTGATGGCAAAGCAGGAAGGAGATGAGAGAAAGAGAACAGATGGATGGAGACAGGTGTCGAGGGCAGAGGGAAAGAGGGAAAAAGGGCCACCACAGAGGGAGAGAGCTAGGGAGGGGTGTGTCTCTTGGAGTGGAGAGGTCACAGGCAGGCGGAAGGTACCCCGGACAATTAACCAAGAAAATGGCTTCTACCTTGCTAGGGGGCTGGCTGTGTTTCTACCTATTATACATCCAGTGGCCATCTGGGGGCGAGCACCCCAAGTGGCTCATTTGTGGGAAGGCCTGGGTATCTCGCCAAGCTGAGTTTTGTATATTTTGCAGGATCTAAGTCCATTTTACTTAGAGAAAGGCCTCTAAAGTCAAATAAATTCAAGGAAATACTAGATTAAACAGAGTTATAAATGTTTATTTACTGGAGAACTTGGGGCAGGATGGTTTTTTTTTTTTAATTTGTTAATGTGCCTTGAACTGGCCCAGAGGGGCCTGGCTATAAAGCTACATGACCACAGAAGCCCTTTCTCAAGGAGCACCTTTTAGGGCTAGTTTGGAAGTGCTGAAATAAACAGCTGTCCCCATAAGGAGATGCATTGCAAGTTCCCCAAAGGTGACCTCTGAACTCACTTTGGGATCATGACCAGTCCCATCTGGGCACTGTGTGTTTGGGAATGGGAGCTGCGCATGGGTTTGTATCCAGTCTGGGATGTCGCGGGGAGTGGACGTGTGAGAGGCGCTTCTGCGGTCCCGGCTACACAGAAGGCTCTCACGGAAATTTTCCTAATGGTGTTAACTGTTACCGTTATAGTTGTTGTGAGTCCCATGAGTGGTGATGGGAGCGCATCAACTGGTGTGTGCTTAGTCCATGGAAAGAGCACCTGCTCCCGGGGCTTGGAATTTTACGCAAGGAGGAGAGAGGTGCTGACAGCCCTGAGTGCGAGGCGGCGGGTTAATGCGGATTCAGCCCAGTGCCCACCAGGGGCCCGGCGGGGCAGCCTCGGCAGGACCGGGCGTGGGGGCGGGGGGCCCGGAGGACTCGGCCTCTGGCGCTCCCCCCACGGCCAGGCCGCGCTCGCGAGGGGGGCGGCCGGAAACGGCGGTGGAGAAGCTTTCTCCGCGGGCCTCCCTCCCTCCCCCTCGCACTCCTCTCTCTCCCCAGGCCGGCACCCCGTGCCCTCCCGCTGCCAGGTCCCCTCCTGTCAGGGAGGACAGTGTCCAATAAACTCCTCCACCCGCAGGTGTGTCCCCCGCCTCCCACCGAAGGAGAGGGCTGAGGTGCCGGGCCGGCCGGGGTGGGGGGCGGGCGCCTCTCCGAGGCCCCAGGCCGCGGGCGCCCCACCGGGGCAGTGGGCGCCCAGGCGAGCGGCGCCGCCCCCACCGAGGTGTGGGAGCCTCGGAACGCGCGCCCCGGGAGGGGGCCCCCGCGCGCGGGTGGAGGGGGGCGCCGGGCGCAGAGGCCGGGCCGGGGGCGGGGCCCCGAGGGGGGAGGAGCCTCGAGCCCTCCCGCCCCGCCCCCCGGCCCTTTCTCCCCCACTACCCCTCCCCGCCGGGGGCGGCCCGGGCGGCCGGTGGAAACCCAGGCCCTCGTCCCTCGTGTCTCGCCAGGCTTCGTGAGCTTCGACAACCCGGCCAGCGCGCAGACCGCCATCCAGGCCATGAACGGCTTCCAGATCGGCATGAAGAGGCTCAAAGTGCAGCTGAAGCGGCCCAAAGACGCCAATCGCCCGTACTGAGCGCCGGCGGGAGCGTCCCCCGGGGGAGACCAGGACTCGCACAGGTAACCGGGGGCGGCCGGGGCGAGGGGACGGGGGTTGGGGAAGGGACACCGGACGGACCCGCCGCCTCCTCCAGCCTGCGTGGGCCGGACCCTCACTTGTGCCTTGGACCCGCTGCGCCCGGCTCAAGCCGCTCCTCGCCCAGTACTTGGGGGACAAGCGCAGAGCTGTGGTCATCCCAGCAGAAATGGGCACGGCCATCCCCCTGCCGAAGGGCCAGGAGGGGCAGGAGTGAGGGAGGGAGCCTCTCTGAGGTCAGGCGAGCCCTGGGCCTGTGCCTCCACGTCTACACTGGCAGTCCTGTTTGCCAGAAGACGCTGGGGTGAACGGATGGCAAGCTTAGGCCAGGAGCATTTGGGGGCAGGATAGGCTCCACCGGCCTTCTCCCAGACTCTGTGGCTCTCCCCTCCCCAGTTCTGCCAGGAGGGCCGGCAGCCTTTGGACACTTGACCCCTTTACCATTCCCTTTCCCCATAGCTCAGTCAGGAGAGAAGGGACAGGACTTTTCAAAGCGAACTTTACCAAAACCAAAACAAAGTGGGACCAAAGCTGTACCCCCAGGATCCCTCACTCTGCCTACCTTGCATGGGCCATGACCAGTGGTTAGTTGTCACCACTTCTGCTCAGGCCGGGTCCTGCCTGGGAGCTGGAGACACAGCCACTCTTCTTGCAGGCCTGCGAAAGGGATGGGGATCGGGTGGGGTATGGAGATGTCCCAGGCAGTCAAAAGTCGACCTTCAGCCTGGTTGTCCCAGTGCTGTCTGCTCCTTCCGTCCTCAGCTTACTCACAGACCAGAGATGGAGGCTCCCTGTAGGCCCTTCCTGCTCAGTTCCCTCCCCGCAGGAGGCAGGTACTGTGTTAGGTACTTGGGGCCCAGACTGAGTAGGTGGAGACAGGCAAGAGGCAATACCATAGGGTCAAGGAATAAATGATCTAGTATGGCAGGATTGTTGGCTGCAGTAGAATCACCTAGTCAGGATAATCCTCGTTGAAGAAGTGACATTCCAACAAAGAGTTGAAGGGGAGGAGAGCCATCCTAGTGTCTGGGGGCATGCACCCTCCCTCTGAGGGGACAGCCAGAAGGCTGAAAGGCAGGGCAGGGGCTGTGCATTCAAGCAGGGCAGGGGGCTGGGATAGTGGCTTTGCAGGCCATTGCATAGGCTTTGGTCTGTCTTCTGAAATGGCAGATGGGGTGGGGCGCACTGGGGAATTCTGAGTAGGAGAGTGATGTGATTACGTGCATTTCAGTGGGGCCACATTGGCTGCTGTGCTGCTAACAGATTGTAGGGGCTGAAGCAAAGATCTGCTGGCTGACCACTCAGCGCAGGGAGACAGCAGGCAGTGGGATGTGAAGGAATTGATTTCTAGACATATTTTGAAGGCAGAGCCAAGGATGTTGCACTCACATAATGAGTTAGAAGTGGGCATGAAAGTTAGAGGAACTGAGGATGACTCCTAGGCTTTTGGCCCAGGTGGCAGGAAGCTCAGGCATGTAGGAGTCAGACATTCAAGCCGAGGTTCAGAGTCTGGAGTCAGGGAGGGTGGTCTCTAGTTTCCCAGTCTCCACTCCCATCCCATCCCCTGCATCGCTGGGGTACAGACTCCAACTGAACACCCTTCCTTCATCCAGAAGTAGCAACACACACCTGATGATATCAGGGGGCAGGCGGGCATGCACCTCCTCTCTCTGCAAATCTGGAAAAGCCAAACCAGCTTGTCCTACCTCCTAACCACCCCCGCCCCACCCATTGCTGGCTTGTGTGCAGATGCAAACACCACACATATTCATTCAGAGCTTGGGCACCTTCTTGTGCCAGACACTGGGCTCAGTGCTGGGATGTAAAGATGAATGAGTCACCATCCCTGCCCTCATGGAGCTTCTGGCTCTATGTACATACAGACACCAGGAGGCAGTCAGCAGAAGGGGACATTTCCATAGGAGGAGAGGGACAGTTCAGTGAAAGCAGCTCTTTCTGTATATAGAACACTTTCTTAAATAAGCGTAGCTGTGCCATTAAGGTATGATCTGGGTCAAGGTGCTTCCTCCCTCTGGGCTTCCATGTCCTAGATAATGAAACCATGGTGTTGGAGTCAGAGGAGTTGAGACAGGTATGGGTTATGCATCAGGGTCATGCCCTGAGATTCCTAGGAGCCCCTGTGGGTGTGTTTTGACAATGGCTCCCTTTAAAGCAGCTTGTCTTAGCCTCCTTTGCCCAAGCAAGGGTAGAACCTCTAGGTCAGATAGCTTCCCAGTTACAAGGGTGAGGAAGGCGGGTTTATAGTTTGGGACATAAGGTCGGAGTGGCCCCTGGGCTGAAGCAGCTGGCAGTCAGAGCTGGGCTGAGGGCTGGGGAGGGGGTGGTTTATAAAGCAGAGGAAGAGCATGCAAAGGCGGGAAAGATGAGACCCACAGACCTCACACAGTGCTTACCATGTACCAGGCACTGCTCTGAGAAGTGGCAACTGTGAGATGGAACTACAGAGCTATCTGTGACTACCTACATGGCAGGCAGTGCTAGTACTCCCGTTTTACAGATGGCGCACAGAGAGATTAAGCAATTTGCCCATCAGCTAGTGAGTGGTAGAGCCACACTTGAAGCCAGGACTCCTGGTTCCCTTCAAATGAGGAGAATGAGAAGCCCCCACCACACCCTCAGCCCAACCCTGCCACCCTAGAGGGTCCCAACTGTCGGAGGGAACAAGTCATGACACCACATTTCTCTCAGGTCAGCCGTTTGACCACCCCCTCCCCACTAAGCAGTCTTAAAAAGCTATGAAGTGACATGACTCCTGCAATAAAGTTGACCTTTAGTCTTTATTTAGACAGCATTTTAAAAAGTGGCACTTTCAGGCTTCCCAGCCCAAGACTATGAGAAGCTCTAATAGAAGGGGGTGCTAAGAAGAGATAAGGGGTTTCTCAAGGCAGGCTTGGGGACTACAGTGAGAAGTGGCTGCTCTCGGACTGCCAGCAAGGGAGGAAAAGGCACAAAAAAGCAGCTCAAAGACTGCATAACGTCACAGGCCAGTGAAGGGTGGTTACCAGCGCTTAGGAGGCCTAAGCTGGGGCTCAGAAGGGCAGGGCGAGGAGAGCAGGAGCTGAGGGGACCAGCTGATTTGAGGAGCAAGGAGGGAGTGGGCAGGGGGATCTCAGGGCCAGGTGGCTACCAGCGGTGGTGGCGGTAGAGTGCCCAGTAGGCGTGGTGGGCCAAGCCCAAGCCCAAGGGAGTGGGGCAGGTCTCGGGAAGGAGAGCGGCCCAGGCAGGGCACCCTTGGGGAGCACGGCTGGGCTTTGGTTCCATAAAGGGAGGCCCCAGGTGGGGTGGGATGGGGCGGGTCAGTGTGGCTCTCCTCCCTTGCTGGTTCCCTGTTTTCCCTGCTGCCTCTGCCCCTTGGCTGCTTGGGCTCATTGTCTTGTGCTAAATTGGGAGTTTCTCCAAGTAATCTTTACCAGGAAACTAAGAGGAAAGAAACAAAGGCAGAGAGAGTGGGCAAAGACGTGGGCATGGCCAGGTCCGTAGCCAGCAGGCAGAACACCCCACCCCGGCCCTGCCCAGCTCAGAGTCCCTGTCCTGCCACTGAGCTTACTGGCACACTGGGCCCCAGCAGCAGCTGGGTGCCCAGGCTCCTAGCACTGAGGGTCTTTGGCCAGAGAGCTCATCCCACAGCCTGTCTGACTCCATTGCACGTCCTGTCTCTGCCAGGCCCTGGGCCTTGGCATGAGTGTGCTTCTGCACAGTGTCTGGGCCGAGCTTCGCGGGCACAGGTGCTTTGGGGCTCACCTATGGCTTCAGGCCTGGGCCCTCTCTGGCTCCAGCCCAACTGATTTTAGCACCTGGCATCTGCATTCAGCCTGGCTGTAACTTCCTCACCCAGGCCGGTGAGTCGAAGCTTCCCAGACCTGATTGGTGCTTCCCCGTGCTGGTCAGTGAACCCACTGCCACATCTATGGCTGTGCTCTGTGAGTCCCCCCAAGAGAGTGACAGGGAGGGGGTCACCCCTGCAGGCAGAAGTGCAGCTGTCCCTAATGAAGAGATTAGCCAGCTGGGCACACACAGAACCCTGGGGGAGGCTAGCTGGGGACTGAGTGAGTGTGAGGGTGCATTGTGTGTTGGGGCCAAGCATGTGTGAGAGATGGGGGTGTGCACGAGGACCTCTGCAGCTTGAGCTCCGAGGGGATGGGCCGTGTGCTCCTCCGGTTTGTGTCCCTGTGCCCAGGACAGTCCCTGGCACTGACAGGGAGTGAGACTGAGGCCAGGAGAGGGTGGAGAACACGCAGAGTGGGGAGGAGTGAACATCCATGAGGGGCCCAGGGTGTCCCTTAGTTGCAGTCTGCAGCTGCAGTTGCTATAGCCGACACCTGATGGCAATACACTCCTTAGTCCCTTAGGCCTGTTCTCCCGTGCCAAAGGGACCTGCCAGTTGGACATCCTGGGTGGGTCTGAGAGCTTTCGGGAGGGGCTGGAAGTGCAGGGGAGGGTGGCATTTCAGGACTTGGTGGCTGAGCAGAGGCTGGGCGTGGGCTTAGCTATGGCATGACTTGTCCGAGGTGACAGTTTAAGATCCCAGGCCTCCCTGCAGGAAAGCACAGGAGCAAGAGTGGAAGTCCACTGCATGTAGAGGCCTGGTGGAGAGGAAACCTGCTACTCAGCCTGGCGAGTAGGCTTTGGTGCAGCCTGAGTGCCCGGGGGAGCAGGGGATGGGCAGCAAGCTCACAGTGACCATGAGGAGGGGGTGCAGCCGGGGACCCCAAATCCCAGGGCAGGGGCAAAGCAAATGGCGAGGGGTAGAAAAGACAACTCAAAGCTAAATAAGTTGATTCCGGGCAGGGAAGGGAGCTCATTCTCAGCCACTCAGAAGGCCAGGGCCTGCGAGACAGGGCAGTCTGGAAAGCTATTCTCGGAGGGTGTAGGGGTGACAGGC